AAAACTGGAAAAGACCTTGAGAAATCATTCAACCTACTACCTCTAGGAAGATCTACTTCTAAATCATACCCAAAAATTGTTCAATAAGATCTTTTTTAGAACATTTTATATAATAGCTTATTCTAATAGATAACCAAATTTTCTACCCTGATTTTATTCTGTGTTCAATCTCAGTTCTCAGACCAACGGAGTTGGGAATAAGACTGAGTATGATTGCTCAAGTTGTCAGCTACACAACCCTGAGGCAATCATTTATTAGACTACACTAATAATGACATTCCTGAGGCTTGTGCAGTGCACATTCTGTGTAACTATCTGCACTGGCCTACGTCACTTACTTTTTTTTAAAATGTAAATTCCTCCCTTCCTCCTTAAAAACCTTCAGGAATTTCCCATTGCTCTGAGGTTAAAGTCCATAGATCTTTAAAGGGAGCATCATGTTGCCTGATTTCAAGCTATATTACAAAGCTGTGATCATCAAGACAGCATGGTACTGGCGCAAAAACAGACACATAGATCAATGGAACAGAATAGAGAGCCCAGGTATGGACCCTCAACTCTATGGTCAACTAATCTTTGACAAAGCAGGAAAAAATATCCAGTCTCTTTAATAAATGGTGCTGGGAAAATTGGACTGCCACATGCAGAATAATGAAACTGGACCATTCTCTTACACCATACAGAAAGATAAACTCTAAATGGATGAAAGGCCTCAATGTGAGACAGGAATCCATCAAAATCCTAGAGGAGAACATAGGCAGTAACCTCTTCGACATCGGCTGCAGCAACTTCTTTGAAGACATGTCTCCAAAGGCAAGGGAAACAAAAGCAAAAATGAACTTTTGGGACTTCAGTAAGATAAAGAGCTTCTACACAGCAAAGGAAACAGTCAACAAAACAAAGAGGCAACCCACAGAATGGGAAAAGATATTTGCAAATGACATTACAGATAAAGGGCTGGTATCCAAGATCTTCTGAAACTCAACACCCAAAAAACAAATAATCTAGTCAAAAATGAGCAGAAGACATGAACAGACACTTGTCCAAAGAAGAATGGCTAACAGACACATGAAAAAATGTTCATCATCATTAACCATCAGGGAAATTCAAATCAAAACCACATAGAGATACCACCTTACACCAGTTAGAATGGCAAAAATTGACAAGGCAAGAAACAACAAATGTTGGAGAGGTTGTGGAGAAAGGGGAACCCTCTTACACTGTTGGTGGGAATGCAAGTTGGTGCAGCCACTTTGGGAATCAGTGTGGAGGTTCCTCAAAAAGTTAAAAATAGAGCTACCCTATGACCCAGCAGTCGCACTACTGGATATTTACCCCAAAGATACAGATGTAGTGAAAAGAAGGGACACATGCACCCCAGTGTTCATAGAAGCAATGTCCACAATAGCCAAACTGTGGAAGGAGCTGAGACGCCCTTCAACAGACGAATGGATAAAGAAGATGGGGTCCATAAATACAATGGAATATTACTCAGCCATCAGAAAGGATGAATACCCAACTTTTACATCAACATGGATCTTCCTCCCATCTCAAGATCTTTGCACTTACCTATAATACTCCTCCCTATGCTTTCTTACCTAGCTAATTTCTCTAACTCCTTCCTGTCCTTAAAAGCAGAACTCATTTATCAGAAAACACTTTCTCGACCTCTGAAACAAGAAAAGCGCACACCTTCAATAGCCTCTCCTCACAATTCATGCATTTCCTTTCCAGTGCTTAACAGTTTGTGAATATATCTTTACTTATGTAACTTTTTTTAAAACTATGAGCTTCAGATTGTGAGGGAATGATATTGTTTGCTCACCGTTATATATCTAGTACCTAGCACTGTGTTTAGCAAATAAATGATTCTAGTAACTGAATGAATGACTAGCAGTTATTTTAAAGGGACATAATCCCAGTTTCTCTGTCAAGTCAAGCTGTCAACATGATTGACTGGGGCTCCTTAAAATGTAATGTGCATCCAAATTCCGCAGAGGACTTGTTAAAAATGCAGATTCTGATTCAGTAGATCTAGGGTGAGGCCTGTCATTCTGCATTTCCAACTCATATCTAACCAGCTGTAGAATTTGGTTGTAGATTGGAATCTCCTTAGGAGCTTAAAAAAAAATCACGATTCTGAGATTTCATCCTTGGTGATTCTGGCTTAATTGTTATGTACTTGGCCGGGGCTTGGAGGATCTTTAAAATCTCCCCAGTTTAAAACAAAACAAAACAAAAACACCCCACAGAAAACAAACAAACAAACAAACAAAACCTTCCCAGTTTATTCTAATATCCAACACTCTTGGAAATCCACTGATTCCAGGCAAAGCTCATCCTTAACAGGAGGTAAAGGGATATTTTCGTTGCCCTTTGCATTAAACAGCATCCAACATGGCCACCTGATAGGGGTCCATCTTATTACTATTTTTTAAATGCATATCTTTAGAGACACACAGCAAAGTGGTACCTACCATTTGTTGTGTGAGCCAAGAGAAGCCCATAGGAGTTGGTTAACATGGCAGCAGAATGGTCTGATCTTAAACTCTCCCACCTCTATCGGGGGGAAACTTATGTCTTATCAAATATTCGAAAGTAAGTGTAGCTATTGAAAAAAGTGGAACATTTTGGTAGAACCAAATGCAGTTATAGCAGCCTTTGCAGCCGGAGGAACAATGCATACTTACTCACATAATAGCATCAGAGAAAAGAGAATTGGAGTGCACTTCCAAAAGCTGCAGTATTTGTAGTGAGTTTCTTGATTCCCTACTTGCCCATAACCATGAACCTGAAGACGAGCCATAGGCTCTTGGGCATTTGGTTTACTTTCTTTGAAGATCAGTGCTTTTTAATCTAAAGCATAGTAACAATCCCCCTTTCTTGTCATTAATTCCGCTGACTGCTGATTATTTCCACTGATTTATTTTTGTTTGTGTGTTTTTTTATTATGTTATGTTAATTACCATACATCATTAGTTTTTGATGTAGTGTTCCATGATTCATTGTTTGCATATAACACCCAGTGCTCCATGCAGTATGTGCCCTCCTTAATACCCATCACCAGGCTAACCTATCCCCCAACCCCCTTCCCCTCTAGAACCCTCAGTTTGTTTCTCAGGGTCCATAGTCTCTCATGGTTCGTCTCTTCCTCCGATTTCCCCACCTTCATTTTTCCCTTCCTACTATCTTCTTTTTTTTTTTAATCTTAAAAATTCCCCAATGTGGAGTATAATCTTTTGCACTGGGTAGCTGAGCACAGTAGTACATGTCAAGCCCTACACTAGCTGTTTTCATAGTCTTGGTTACTTAGTCTCCTCAGCAAACCTGTTAGGCAGATCACATTTTACAGATGACAAAATTGAAGCTTACTAGTTGACTAGCTTCCGTGAAACACACAGATGGCCAGTGGCAGAGTCCAGATATATCTGATAATCTCTCCAGCCCGGTGTTAGTTAACAGTGTGTAGGCCAAATTCGGCCTTCAAATATATTGGTCCACATGGTCTCAATACATTTTTAATGAGGTGCTGCCATTTAGAAAGCAGAAAATTTCCCATAAAAGTCCAGATTTCAAGCTTATATTTAGAATAATCATGTCTAAAAAAGGTAAAATAAAAAACTAAAAAAAAAATAATCGTATCTGACAATATTGAGTAACATGCCTGCCAGCCTGAATCTTGCCTGAAGCTGAGTGACATTTTTCTCTTTCAGCTGACTTTCTACCCCTCACTAATATCTCTTTTACTCCTGGCCTGGCCCAACATTTTATGACACCTGTTTGGCCCCTCCAGGTCTCTGGGTTTTCAGCTTTGCCTCTGAACTCTATTGAGGGAAGAAATATATTTTATCATCAGGAAAAAAAAATGACCTCTTTCTTGGTGAGATGGAGACCATTGCTTTGCCATCATGACTTAAGATCATTTTAGGACTCTGTATATTTGCGTCTGGTGGACTGACTTCTTTGAATAAATATAGAGTAGTGGATTCTACCTTCTGATTCTGGTATTTTAGCTATTTGGAGTGGTTTCCAGTCAAAGTTTTGACTTCAGAGGGGTTTGTAAGTTGCATGGTTGCATGGTTGTGTTGCAACAGCCATAGCCCCGTGAAAACTCACGTATCCCTTGGACTCATGGTATAGTGTATTCCGTTTAGTCTCCTTCAAGGAAGACTGTGGTAAGGAAGAAGAGGATCTTCCCTAATGTTGTCAGGGCCTATGTGGTCTGGATCTAGTAGCACTGGGCAGGTCATCCCAGGAATGTAGTCACTGATTTCTGATGTAGCAGGAAATACAGAAAGCAAGATTCACACACGGGAAGTCTTCTCCTTGGTTTTGATAGTTGGTTGCCTCTGTTCCAATGTATCTGTTTCCTTGTTCCCTTTCTATGCCTGACCCTGACCCACAGCCCACTATGCTGTTGGTTTCTCTGTGTTCCCCGCGTCATTCAATCTTTGCAGAGCCTTCTCGTTGCATGTCGGAGCCCTGTCGCTCAACGGAGTGCAGGCACATATTCTATGCTACTGAAACCTCAGAACAATCCTCTGATATACTTCTTTTTATTCCCAGGAGATTGTGGCCCAAAGATGAGAAGGATTTTCAAATGGTTAAATACTGACCTTGACTGTTCTGTCACGTATTTCACTTGGGTTTAAGAGGCTGATCTCGTAATTGAACCATGTCTACAGAACATGAGAAAGATAATTCAACCATTCCTTATTTTACCACATGGCATGCCATGTGAGACATCATCGATTTTAAGATATGCCGTTGTTTGATATGCCACCGAGAACAGAAAAAACACTGTCAAGTAAATTATGTTGATTGTTATCCCCTTCTGAAGTACAGATTTTCTAACATAAAAATATGTCTGAGGATTGACGAATATGGCACTTTAACTTTTATTGCATGCCTTTAATGTAGAAGACACTAAAATGTTAATTGTCTCAATAAGATGTAAGAAAGTAGATGAAAATATTTACACTACCATGTTCTTCCTTCAGCAACCATCAGCTGACCTAGAATTTGACCGTGTAGTGATTTATACCACTTGCCTTCGTGTGGTACGGACAACCTTTGAAAGATGTGAACTGGTTAGAAAGATCTTCCAAAACCATCGAGTAAAATTTGAAGAGAAAAACATAGCTCTGAATGGTGACTATGGAAAAGAGTTAGATGAGCGATGCCGACGTGTTTCAGAAGCCCCTTCCCTCCCTGTCGTGTTCATCGATGGCCATTATCTTGGGGTAAGTACTCTGCTAAGGAAAATCTTCTTTTTTTAATTGAACCCAACCAGTGTTGTTAGAAGTCTATAAGCCTATGACAAGGCGACTTGCAACATAACTCCCAGGACATTTGCTATTTTTTTGGAGTTCAGACCAAAGGGATTGAGGCACTCATTTCTATCCCAAATGATGTGTTGCTAACAGTGTTTATCCCTACAGAAGCATGGTGAGATAAAATCCACATGAAATTGCCTTTTTAAATAGGAATACGTTTTTCACTTGTTCAGTTGACTTCAGTTTTGCATTATGAAGCTTGACATGTGAGATAAAAACTATTTTTTAGTGCACACAAGAAAAAGGGAATATTTATAAGATACACATTTATGAATTCTATTATGCCCCATTATCGAACATTCAGTTTCCTACCTAATGAAACTAAGATGGCAGTCCCAAAACGAAATCAGTAAGAACTGGGGCCTGGAGCCAGAATTTTAGCTGCCTGTTGTTTAAAATTATTCTGGATTTTGGTAATTTGGCAGTGTGAGACACAAATTTAGGCTTACAGTAGCAGAGAGGGGAAAATTCCCGAGCAGCAATGAAACATGATGCCTCCTTTCTCTTTGAATAACACTGTTAGCGTAATTAACCCCCATTGATCTATGAACACACTCAATCACTAAGAAGCCCAAGAAGAGGGCTCTGGAGAGTGCACTTTAGAAAGAGTAAGAACAAAGAGCCAAAGGAGGCCAGCGGTTGAGGGGACGGGACTGACTTCCCCAGATCACTTATCAGAGAACAAAGAGCTGCCTTCAAATGGCAGATGGATATTTGGATCTTGGCTTTGTTTCACATTTAGTCTTAACCTTCAGTTTTCAGAGATGGTTAGAAAAAATCCAGAGCAGGAAATGCTCATGTTTTGTTACAGGGAAACTGTTCTGCTATCCTGTCTAGAACCATCGCTGTTAGAGGCAGCCTGTCATCTGATGGAAAGGTAAATGCAGAGAAGCCATGATTCACTAGCTTTGCCTTCTGCAATCTCACTTTAAACTTGAGTTGGACACAGACTACATTCTGAAGCAGAGGAATTTTGATTTGAAGCATTGAGCCTCTTTCATTATATTTCCACATGTACCCTTAGGTCCCAGAAAGCGACAACAATGACAGTGATAATAATGATAAATTAATGATAATAGTAGTAATAATGTTACTATACTGTGCTCTCAGCTTTACACATTCATCTCATCTAATCCCCAGGACGGCCTTAGAGAATACCTCTCTGCTCTACTCGCTGAGAGGCAAGACAGCCTTGTTTCAAATTCCTGCTCTGATACTTCTATGTGATTCTGGGTAATCTATAAATCACTCTGTGCCTTGGTTTTCTCATTTGTAAAAGGAGCATGGTAATAGAACTTTTCTCACAGACTAATTGTGAGGATTTTACCGTATATATAATATATAGAAGTGCTCAATTCCTGTGCCTGGAACAAAGTATGTTTTTAATCAATAGTAAGAACTATTATCCTTGTTTTGCCAAAGAGAACATTAATTACTTTGCTCCAAATCACATAGCTGGTCAAGTGACAGGGCCAGGACTCAAAGTTAGGTCTGTCTGACTCCCTAAACCCCTGCTTTTTGGCACATCACCTAAAATAAAGGGATCTTTGATACTTTGCTGAATATGGTCTTATGCCTAGGACATGGTTTGGCACAAAGTGCTCAGAAACGTATGTTGAATGGTTGTATGAAGGACGCTATACTGTTCTCTCACATTCTTTCCTTCTCTCCCTATGACATTCTTCCACCAGGAAAGGATCTGATAAACTCACACCAGAGAGAAAATCACTGCTAAGGGTTGTGGTCATTTGCCTTTTAACCCTGGCAAAATTATTCTGATGATGTAAGATATTATACATTGTAGAATTTTAATTTCTGTGAAACTGCCCAATTAAACTTTGTGGGTGACTGCCTCCTTCCACAGGTGTAATATGGTTGGCCTCACCTGATACGCTGCTTTTGGCCATACTTAATCTTCTTCCTTCTTCTAAGGCAATCTAACAGGCAGTGATGCTATTTTTCTTTCCATTTGATGGGCAGAGGCAGAGGGCAACAGACAAAGGGGTGGGGTGCAGATTCTTTCTCAACTGCTTTTTCTCCATGATTACTTTATTACCACACAGTGGCCTAGAGAAGGAACGATCACACAGGTGCTACCTTGTTGCTTCTGCAATTTGAAGCTAATGCCCCAAATCTGGAAAGAGACCGGAGACAGAGATTTTCTTTTCCTCTTTCTTTTTTCTTAAAAAAGGAGAATTACTTCGAACTCTATCATTCAAAATGGAGGTAAGCACTCCAGAAAACAACTTCTACAACAGTTTCTCCTTCTACTACAAAAATGCCTTGATTTTAAATTCCAGTGCACAGTTGTAAATGGAATACATTGCTGGACTCATAGAGCCTTTTCCCTGCAGTATTCATTCATCTGAAATGGAAGGATGCCCTCTGCTGGGTTTTGGCACGTGGTGAAGCATAATTTTTAGGGAGGAAAAGAAGCTGACGTTGGTAATTTCCTTAACATCTGTGATGTTTTAAACAGTCACATGAAACCATTTGATTTAGTTTAAATTTAGATGAGTGAATAATCAAGATGTATGCATCATCTGTGCAATACAACTTTTTTAAGGAGGGAGAGGGGGAACTAGGGAGGGCCAGAGAATGAGGTAGATAGGGACAGAAATAGGCCTATGGAGGCAGTGAGATGGGATGGGGCGAGCATGAGACCATTTTGGGGCTCCCTTATTTTCCTGCCATCATTGTCACCAGAGCCAGGGATGGGTGGTACCCAAGAAATTCAGTTATCTTCAATGAGGGGAAGATCACAGAGTTCAATGGGCAAGAACAGAAGAATTGAAGAATGCTGAGCTCTTTTTTCCTGACAACTCTGGTTCCCAGCCAAACTTCTATGTGAAGATGGAAGCAGTGAAATAGTCAAGGGAAAGAAATTACTTTAGAAAACAAATCTCCACTGCCCTGGGATGCTCCATCGGGGAGGAAACGTCAGTCAAGGAGTGGGGGGCTAAGAGGGGTGGATGGTGGGGAAGCAAGTTCAACTTGAAGCTTGCTTAAAGCCATTGTCCTGTTGCTCTGGCATCAGGAGATCTTTACACAAAAACATTGCATTCTGATAGTTCGGACATAAATTATCTTAGAAATTCTAGTAGGAAATAGGTTAGAAGTGCTGTCTTGATTCTGGACCAACCATAAAACTTTACGGTAGAAATCCATCAAACCCACATTGGAACTGAGCTATAAAACATGGAATGAATCAGAGTGGGGACTCTGGTAACAGAGGGGAATGGAAGGGCTATGGATCTAGACAGGTGTTTTAAACTAGCTGATATTGAGCTGTGACTGCTTGATAATTCTGTATTCGTTGAAAGTGCAGTTTTTTTTTTCTTCAGTTTAAGAATGAAGGAATTGTTATTGAGCACAGGTAGTTTATACATTAGAAATATAGACTCTAGGCATGTTTTTAGGGACAACTTGCAAAACTTCTCTGCAAAAATGGGCCACCAAGGAAGCCTCTGCCACGATCGGGAAGCGGTTCACTCTAGAAATGCTGTCTTTGGTCCTCTCCAGAAAAACAGATGATTTGTTCTCTGCCCCTTTTTCTACAAAATTCTGTTCCTAAGTAAAGTCTTGGGTGAGTGTATCTGTAGTTGCTGAATCTGTCACATATGAAAACAATGAGGGAAAATGGGAAATGTGGTTTTTAGCTTTCTAGCCTCTACAGTATAGGAAGACATTCTAGAAGGTGATCGGATTGGTTACTGAGTGAATCAAACCATAGTATCTGCCAGATATGCTGTTTTCATTTATTTTGTTTTGTTTTAATCAGATTATTGAGGTACAATTTATATATAATAAACTGTATCCATTTAAATTATAATTTGATGGGTTTTGGCAGACACTCATGAATCTATCAACACATTTGAGATCAGAGCATTTCCATAACACCCCAAATATTCTTCATGCCATTTGGCAATCTCTTCCTCCAAGCCTAGTCCCCTGGTGGTCATTGATCTTTCTGTCAATATAGTTTTCTATTCTTCTAATGTCTTTGGTTTTGGTGTCAGGGTAATGATGACCTCATCAAGTGAGTTTGGAAGTGCTCTACCTTCTGCGATTTCAATTTCTCATTCTCTTTATTGCTTGGTGTAGAGCATTAAGTCATTTGACATCATTTCCTTTTATGTGAAGGACTTTTTATGTGCTACTATTGTAGTGTGGGTCTGCTGTAGATAAATTCTTTCAGCATTTTTATGTCTGAAAAGTTTTTATCTCATCTTTGTCTTCTACAGGATATTTTTGCTAGGTATAAAATGCTAGGTTTAAAAAAGTTTGTTTTGTTTTGTTTTTTTCCCTTTCAGTACTTAAGAGACATTGCTCCTATGTCTTCCCATTTACATTACTTCTGATAAACTATATGCTGTTATTCTTATCTTTGTTCCCTGTATGTGTGTCTTTTCCCTCCAATTGCTGCTTTTAAGATTTTTCTTTTCGGGATGCCTGGGTAGCTCAGTAGGTTAAGCATCTGCCTTTTGCTCAGGTCATGATCCCAGGGTCCTGGGATCCAGTCCCACATTGGGCTCCTTGCTCAGTGGGGAGCCTGCTTCTCCCTCTGCCTGCCGCTCCCCTTGCTTGTGCTCTCTCTCTGGCAAATAAATAAATAAAATCTTTAAAAAAAAAGATTTGTCTTTTCATCACTGGATTTGAGAAACTTGATTATGATGTATTTTGGTATAGTTTTTTCATGTTTCTTTTGCTCAGAGTTCATTGAAATTCTTGGATCTATAGTTTTTTGGCTTTTTTAAAAATAAAATTTGGAAAACTTTTAGCCATTGTTTTTTCAAATATGATTTAGCCCCCCCCCCATTTTCTCTTCTTTTCAGAGACTTTACTTACATGCATATTAGGCTGCTTGAAGTTGTTCCATAGTTCACTTATTTTCATCTTGGATTGTT